ACACCACTCTTTCAGCTATTAATCTATTTCAGGGTGGGCCAGAACAGTAGTAAAACAATGCATCACTTGCCAAGCGGAAAGCTTACCCCGTTCTGAGTTGGTGCTTCTCACAGAAACAGTTAAAAAGAAGATTATGCTGTGCTGCAAGTTCATTCAGTTGCTGCAAATAAAGCCAGGGCCCATTGTAACAAACAGAGAAGTTCTGCTCCTTGTAAGAAGCCAAAGAGCGTGGCCCCAGAGGGGTACCAGAGGAGAAGGCAGGTAAGCTCAGTATGCGACTACGGGCAAGGACCTTTGTTCCCTGGAGCAAACCCCCTCTGTAAATACACCGTGTGTTTCTGTAGATTTTCAAAATGGTGACTCACTTCATGAGGTTCTCCAGAGACTGCTCCTTCACTTTAATATCTGTAGAACAAGGCAGATATTAAAACGCAGGTTCCCAACAAACTTCCAACTTACTCTTCTATGTAGGTAAAGCTTAACTTAACTAGCGGGTTCTATAAGCATTACAACGACATGTTAGCTATTACAGGAGAAAGGAATAGAGATTACATTCTCCTGTTTCATGGGTTAATTAATCACAAAGCATTGTGATTGTATTGCATGTGATTTCACCCAAAGACAGGGCAAGTTTCTCCGGTTTCAGAGCAACACAGATGAACAGAAGCACGGCTCAGGCTGCAGAGAGCAGGCACGTTCACCATGGGCCAGCTGAACGCCAGCATGTGTAAGCACGCCAGGGTATTGGCACTGCTGCTGAACGAGGACATCGTGGTCACCAAAGGTAGAACAGCATGACTGATCGACAGCGATTACATCACTGCCATGCAGGAACCTGACTTTCGTTAGCACTTCCTTCCTGTCCCAATCAAAATTTAGAACAATCTTCTGTTGGGGGAAAAAAAAAAGGAATTTGGGCAAAAATGAGGAAGAGAAAGGGTCAGGTAAGACTCTGCACATCTGCAGTTTTAAGAAACTCTTAACTGACCACAGTCTCTCCAAGGGGTGACTGAACCTTACCTGTATCCAAATACCAAACTATTATCGTACTGAAAGCTGGATACATTTTTAATCCCGTTTTTTAAAAAAAGTATTGCTTGAGTTACACAATCAGCTCCTAAACCAAAGTGACTCTGAAGACAGGGGTTTAAAACACAAAGCGGCCAGACTAGGAGGGCACAGCTTGTGTCTGTGAAGTCCTTTTGAATTCCCAAGTTTATCAGCTCTCGCCTTTGTATGTCTCATTTGCCCCCCTGCTAATCTAGCCTAGCTGGCTCAACAATCAATGCATAGACCGGAATGACCACGTGGCATTTAGGGAGCCGTTCATTTGGAAATGGGACGTTTTCAGCCCTGACCTAGAATTAGGTGCAGGTACCAGAACTGTCCCAGAAAATTCAGTTTTACTGCTTCAAAATTTTTACCTTCTCACTACCGCATAAAAAAAAATTAAACGTAAAAAGGGGAATTGTAGAAATTATTATGCAAAATATCTAAAGAATACTTTGTTTTATTGTATTATAGTTGTAAGAATCCTTGCTTAAAACACTTGCGGAGTCATCCTTCTTCAAAACGAATCACCCCAAGTCTGATTTTTAGCCAGTTTTGAAAACAAACTTTCAAGGCATTGGAAAGTTTGATGTGCAGTGATGCCTGCACATTTAAATTGTTTCCTGCTCAGGATTCCTCCAGTTACCACAGAATTTGTTTTTACTTAAAATATTAATTTATTTAGCATTGAGAGATCCCAACTGTGCCTGAAAGATGGTACAGGAAGGTATGTAATCTATATCAATATGCAAGTGCCTCATAGTTTATTTGCAGGCAGCTCCATCATCTTTAAGGGGCTACCTGGACTAGTGGAGCGACTCAGAAAGCGGCTTTCAGCCGAGGATTTGTGGGTGGATGGAGATCAGGCGGTGGGGTGGGAGCAGCATCCCCTTCCAGCTCCACGACCAGCGGGGATTTTTTACAGCACTGAAGCTTCTCACCTGACAATCACCTTTTGCCAAAACATCCTTCGATGAGCTAATTTAGGAAAGGGAGTATTGCCTTACAGAACCGAGATGTGGTTAAATGCGCGATGTGGCTCCCCAGAAAGCCAAATGTGTTGTGCTCTAACCTAATTAAGTCCGTAAAAGATAGCTGCTCGTCACTGCGATCTGGTTTGGATCTACCTTAAAATCACACTGATCTTTAGAGCAAATACGGGCCTCCTGCTCCCATTTCACTTCTACAAAGGCACAATTTCTTACAGATTTTCTGAAGAGAAATTAAGAAATTCCTGGCTGCTGTAGCAAGAGCAATAGCTGCACTGACCCTAAGTACACGTAGGCTAACGTTCCCATTTTTGGTATATTTTCAAAGATATCCGTTAGTGAAGAACATTTGTTTACTCGCAGACTTCATCTCATGCCCATCACTATTGTTTCTGGACACGGCGGACGATGGTAGCTAAGGAACCGGGGTAGCTGCTGCTTACCAAGTAAGCACAGTGTGTGCATTCCATTCTGCCTGTTCCTCTCGATCTTGTCAAAAAAGCTCTCTGGCTTCCACGTATCTGTCCAGAAAACTATAGAAACCGTCTCTCCAAAATTGTACAGCTGTAAAACAAAGCAAATGCAGTAACACACACATACAGAATGAGAAAACACAAGTAGTAGAGCATACAAGAAAATGCTATGAAAAACACAAACAATTGAAAAGTCCCGAGCCTCGTGAAGACAGAAGTTTCACACCACTGGGAGAGCGCTCTCCTGTGAGATGCTTAAGTTTGCTCTTTCATAAATGCACAACAAAAGATGGCATTAGAAGAAATGCTTCCTTTTAAAAACGCTGCCCTGGGCTCCCCTCTCTCTCTTGACGAGTTCTAGTGCGTTCCTTTGCATGCCCTCCTTTCTTTTTTACAAAATCCATAACTACGGAACTGGTTTTTCTTCTCCATAATAGAGATGTGCTCTTGTTCTTTCCCCCTCCAAACAGGAAAGCATGTTAAAGCACAATTAATGAACTACCTGTGAGGTTTCTATCTACCTCTGCATTCCCCCCTTGCAATGCATATTAACGAACTTTCAACCTACCTTCTGTTCTTTGTTACTTCATTCTGAAGCCCTTTTAACGGCAAAACTGTGTAAGACTAGCACAAAAATGAGTAATTATTTCTTACTTTGGCTAAAGCAAGGCAGCTTCTAATAATGTCGTAATCCTTATGATGTTTTGATTCCACTGATACAGTAGTATTTGTATTAAACCAGCACTTTCCTGCAGTTGAAAGCTGTACCATGCAGGGGGAAGTGACAGTCTAACCAGACGGGGGACATCAAGATCTGAAGACAGGGACAGATTGTGCACAAAGCAGAGAGGTGCAACAATTTTTAGGCACATAAGGAAGAAGAATATGGCTAGCGGACCCTGTGTCAAACGTACTCACTGATTTTATTCTCAATCTTAACACTACTTTTTACTGTATATCCCAAATCTCTGTGAAGATGTTTGAAGCCATCGTCTTGCCAATCCTTTCCAGTGATGCAAAAGGGAAAGCCATATGTAGCCGCAGGCAGCGTTTGGCTTGGACGTTTCTGTAACCAACTTGAAAAAGGGCAAAACCACGCATCAATTTGGGGCAATTCAGGTCTGGAACGGGGCCGTCCCAGATGGATTTTACAGCTTTCCAATATTCTGTCTGCTCAGGCCCAGCAGAGAAATGACGGCCGTACAGGCCAACCTCCCTGTAAACCTGGAAGGAAAACCTGCTTTTCCAAGCTCGCTGCAGGAGTCACCTTGTGGGCTGTGAGCAGGGAAGAGGACCCTGCGTAGAATTCTGCAGCTCTGGCAGCTCCGTGCCATCTGGGGATTCCCCTAGACACACTTATTTTACTGTGGCATTAGGTTGCGGTTTTAACTCCTTTACGCTGGCAGAGCAGAATTTGAATCAAATCAGAAACATGTTTGTTTTCAAGGGACCAAAAGCTCAAATTTTAACCATTCATGCTGATAGGAAGAGTGTTTATTCAAAGATTCCTGGAATATTACTGAAAACATTTCCTCTTTTAAATATTTCATTCTAGCACACGGACAAGAACACACAGCGTACATTTCACAACCTAAAGGTTCTTCCAGTAAACTAAATATAGGTGGAACCAAAGGAATTGCTCCTGATGTAACTTGTTAACTATTTCAAGGCTGTCTTCTAGAAAAAGAAAAAAACCAAGCTGTGTTTTGCCTATTTTTCATGTGGCTAGCTAGAACTCTTTTCCATTTTGTACAAAATCTGAAGAAAAACTATTAGAGCAAGGGGTTTCTCTTTCTCCCTTTCACTGTGAGAGCACCTGGGAGCAAGTTAGCCTTCATCTCGCCAGTAGTGTACCTTCAGTCACCAACCACCGCCGACGTGTCTGGCACCAACCTGACTAAGTGGCTTACCATCTGCCACCCGAAAGCCACCGCAGGCATTTCCCAAAGGCAGAAGCCCTCGTTCAGCGCAGAAAATGGCCTCAATTAACCTCAAATCCTATCCCAGTCCCTTTGGCATTTTGATAACCTGACGGAGAGAACCTTCCACTGCTGCCTTTTAGCAAAGAAAGGGGTGTGCAGAAATGGGCAAAATGTTGCTATCTGGTATTTTGTTGGGAACCAGATCTTCTAAACCATTCCACCTCATATTAAAAACAAGTTGGGCTTTCAGCTTTATACCCTGCAGCACTTGTTCTGACTGTGATTTTTCTCTTTTCCATTGATCATTACAAAGATTCTCCATCACCTTTGCCAGCAAGAAGTTAAGCAAGTTATCCTTTTTGTGCAAGCACTGCCAGTCAGATTTGCTGAATCTGTCCTTTGTTTACCAGGTTTTGCATTAAAACTGAAGTCTGAACATCTACAAAGAATAAAACATTTTTGTCAGACATGGCCTGTCTAGTCAGGAGAGGTAACTTCAGAATATCTTCACGAAGTATTGGTATCACAGAAAGCTGTACTTACAGTCTCACAAAGCCACGCTTGTTTTCTCAGCACCTGGACAGTACAGAAGTAGTTTTGACACCAACAAGATGAACGGGGCATATTTTATTAACCTTCTAGAAATGCCTTTGCAACTTACACCTCTCTTCTAACTAAACTTCTAAGGAATAGATTTCCTAGCATTAATGCATACGTATTTTTACTTTAAATTAAAGAGGGGGAAAATACGACTTTGGAAACTTCCTGGTACACCAACAACCTAGGAATGCTGTGGAACTGAAGCAGTAAATGGATACCCCTACTGTGCTTGACTACTTGTAACCAGTTACTTTACGAGCACTTCTACAGACACAAACAAGTGTTTCTTTCTCATCCGGCATTTGATCTCTGCAGACGTGTGACATTTATGCAAACACAGGCACTGCTCTGCCACTACAGCAAGCCTGCGTTAAAGAAGCAACACATAACTGTATCACAACTTACATTTTTAACTCTCCCCCTGTACCTTCTGCAGGTTCAATTTGTTCCTAGTACAGCTTCCTGTGCTGCGTTCTAATTTCTACCTCTTGAAATCCAGCATGAAAGCACACTGACAAGAAAAGCCTTGCTGCAGAAAGAGCAATAAATACCAAAAATTCTACCACTATTGTAAGGATTAAGCAGTTACAGGGCACAGCGGGTCCACTAGAGCCAGGACCCACTGAAATTAAAAAAAGATTCTTTCCACCAACCATAAAAGACTAAACAGGGCCCCAAAATACCAGAAATCATGCTTGTCGTTGGGATAAAACTGTGACACGTGTTCGTTAACCAAGGTGTATTACAACACAACTAAGGATTAATGTTATGCTTTGAGATTGTTAAGAAGTTGTTTAATCAGACAATGCAGCCGCTCTCTGTATTTTCAGTGAAACGATGGTGCTGTACGGTTGCTGGCACAGCTTTAAAGAGAGGCAAGAGCAAATGAAGTTTCAACTGCAGTCTTCGGTCTGCCGCCACTCTACATTAAGCAGCCAGGGTTTAGGAGCGGGCAAGATCTGTTCTGTACAAGCTAAAAACATCTCAAGCATCACACTTGCACTAATCATCAGATTTGTTAGAGTGCCTCCATTCTGCTCAGGCACAAAAGTGCCAGAATTTCAAAGGGGCTCAGTGAAATGGCTGGACAGACATTTCGTGCTCTCAGCTTGGAAATTAACCTTCTTACCTTCTCCCTAACGCTCAAAACCTTCACAAAAAAATTTCAAAAGGTCATTTTGAAAGACCTCAGTCTTTGGAAATACCCCTCCCCCTCCCCCCACCCCTGCCCGAGTAGTAATTGGCTTAAGCAAAGCTTTGTGCACTGAAATTTTGCAATGCAATAGCTGAAGTCAGGAAAGGAAGGCAGAACTCTCCACTCCGAGGCAACGCTCTGCCCGCTGGAGTTTTCTGCCTCTCACAAAATACTGCAGAAAGCTGTTCTTCAACTCGTACTTTCATCACCTCAGAACAAGCTGTGACTTCCTATTTTATTTACACACATAATATGAAAGAATGACAGCTTCTGGTACCGAGGTGCCTGCTTCCAGTTAGTATTTTTAACCCTTCTGTTAATGATATTTCTTATTTTACTTGTTGTGTATTTAAGCAGAATTGATTGCTAATTGAGCGGCCAGAATGAACTATGAGAGAAAAAGTGCTGTACCGGGGTCTCTAGCTTGGAAAGCCTGCGTGCAGGTGAAACTTCAATGAAATTACTGAACAGCTTCGTTAATGGCCAGGCTGAATGACATCAGACACCTGCAGCTGTCCACAGCAACAGTCCTCACTTAAAATACTGGTGTGGCTAATCACCACAAAAATATAGGGCACGAAAAGAAGGAACAAGCTGAGACTAAATAGGGAAATTAAAAAAGGAAGATCCCCCATCCCTGCTAAAAAGTACTAAAGCAAGCAGGAGAGAAGATGCGAGATAATATTAAAGGTCAGTGGGGCAACAGCTGCAGAGAAACCAAGAAGTAAACATTTCAAAATGCAGACATTTATTTTTACAGCATCTTTCCCAGAACTACTGCTGTATCAGCTGCAATGGTGACAAAGCAATTCTTCACTTAGGAGCCCACCTCCCTTCCTAAAATTTCAAACAGCTTCAGAACTGGGCACATATGGCAGGGGAAGAGGGTACAAAGGAGTCTTTACCATTTCATTTTCAGACCTGGCACCTGCATACACCGACAGATGCCTGTAGACCCTGTAGGACCAAAATGCTGCTCAGCTACGTGCTGGTCAGGGGTTACACTGCTGGTAATGCTCACAGGACAGGCGTGTTCTGCAAACGAAGGTGCTGCACAGCCTGATCACATCCCACCGACAGGCACCAGGAGGCTTTTTCTCCTAAGGCTATTCCTCCCTGGAACATGGAGACCAGAGAGCACCTTGGATTATCCCAGGTTGCCTCTTGACAAATCCCACTGAACGTACACAAAGAAGCTAAGACATGTTTTGTTATCCTCGTCACAAGAGTTTTGATGCGATGCTGTGCAACGTTCATCCTCAAAAAAAGGAACCTAACAAGTCAGATTTTTCCCCTTATCCTCTGTAACCAGTTAACAACCCTTCAGACCATATACATCAGATTAAAGGGCTCCTACTGTTCTCTATATTGTAT